CCTTTGTCAGTGATGCCATATATTGCATTGGCATTTCTTTAGTACTACTAATTAAGCAGGCAATGCTTTATTCAATTGCACTGGTGTCTCGTGCTGGCAGCAATGACAGCGAATACTTTGTACCACTCTTCCTAGACGTGAAAAAAAAAAAAAGTTTACGATATATTTTCTTTTTCTGCAAGCTTCTGAATTAAGATCCTTGTTTTGCTGCAGTGTTGATGTAGATGAGGAAGACTTCCTATATGGTAACAGCATATGCATTGGTAGTGTTGATTCCTCAACCACTGGAAGAGAAACTCTCACTTGCTTAATAGGGAATTTTAACTGCTAAAATGACAATCGTTTTAACAAATCTACATCAGGTGGAGCAGGTAGAGGGACAACTTAGAAACGGCACCAGCAGAAGGCCATGCAGAAAGTGTGTCACTGCTTGCCAAAGGATGACGCCCCATATAGCTCAAATACTAGATGCTAGATGAGGTCTAGCCTGTAGTGTGGTCTCTAGCCCAGAGACTAATCCTGATGTACTCTCATGAAGAGGAAGAATTTTGAAAGTGGTGTTGTAATAATAGTAATTTAACAAAATTATCTCTTGAAGGACTGTTCTCAGTATATGGAAGTCAGAACTATTCATATTTATAGGAAATGTCAAATGTGAGGTAAACTTGGGATCCCTAAAAAGTCATTTGTTTTTTTTTTTCCAAGCACTTAAGACTGGAATGTCATTTGGGAAGTACAGGCAAAAAAAATTACATATTGGAACATAATTATAAATTCTAGAATCTTTCATTTGAGATTATTTGTGATACAGACTAGCAAAGCCTAACTCAGCCCAATGAGTTTGATGTGCTTAGACTATTAGATTTGCTGATATCTTCTACTATTTTAGGTACAAAATTTTACATCTTTCAGTCAACCTAATATTTCAGGTGAATTCTGGGTAGCCACCTCTTAGAAGAACATAACTAGGATTCTGTAGTCTTGTATTACATTAGGTCATTTCTGTTTTTTTGAAATCAGTGCAATGAAAATGGCAGCAAATGTTGCTTGAAGAAAGAAGAAACTTGCTTTCTTTAGGAGTTGCCATGACTTCCGGGTTGATGTGTTCATGCTGTAACATTGAAAAAGATCATCAGCCTAGGTCGTTGTTTGGTGCTGAACTATGGACTGGAGTTTTGCACCTTTAGACGTGTTGCAGACACTAACTTGAGGCATATGAACATCATATGAAACTTACTGTGCATCTGAGGGAGGGCTTTTCTAAAATGGCAAAACCCATTCATTTCCTCTTGTCTCAGGATAAAAATCTAACCACTGTGTTTATTTAGACAGAAACCAAATGCTGTTACATTAACTTTTGCTGTGCAAAGCAGTGCAATTTAAATATTAACTTAGGACATATATTACACTCATACTCAGTGTTTATATATACATTTAGAGAGAGTTTTTGCTCAGACTTCTTTGCGTTAGGCATTGCACAATATAAAAGCAGGAGGCTTGATAGTACAGGCTCTATCTCATGTCCCTCACGTTACCGTACATATGATGACATAGAGTGCTTAACAATTCACTGAATTCTGATGAGGTGATTTCTTTGTGCAGCTTATCACCGGGATTTTCTAGTGTACCTACTCATATCTATGGGATGAAAGCATCTTAAAGAACATGCAAGATGATGTAAAGTTTTACTAGAAACATGCGTAAACAATTCCTCTAATTTTTGCTAAGCAACAGTCTGCCAAAACTTGTTTACAGTTTCAGGTTATTTTCTTTCCATCAATATTATGCAATGCCAGTTTGAAGTCCGAACATCAATAACTGGTACTTTTACAATAAAACATAGAAATGCTTTTATTCAACAGTGTTCAGTTTTAGAGAATAAGCATAATCCAAAAACCTTACATGATATTCCTGTAAGATTACAAGTTCAGGTTTATTAATATTCAGATTTAAAGGTCATGAGTATATAATTCAGTGGTTATGGTACTATGTAATTTCTTATTTTGCATTCTTTCATGTATGTCTCCTTTAATGGGAGAGTCACAGCTATTAGGATGATACATGTTGCCACACCTGGCAAGCATTTCAATTCTCCAACTCTTTCCTCCTCCACCCCCCTTTTCCACTTGTTTTATAAACTAGAACCACCATTAAAGTGATTTATTGTGTTGATGATGCTGTTTGATTATATATATATTTTTTTATTTAAGTATCTTTTAGACATTATGTGCTATGATCATATTCGTAAGACAACCAGGCCTCTAGTTCAAGTTAAATAAAATAATTTCATGTCAAAAGAATGGTCAAATAATATACTTTATAGAGGCTTAACATGTACTCCTTGGAAATCATTAAAAGCAGAAAATCAGAAAACTAGTCCATCTCCCCTTGAAGCATGGAGGTCTTTTTCGCTAAAGTCTCAGTCATTTCAAGACAAGTCTTTGATGTAGCAAGAACTCCTAATAATACCCCCCCACGATTCATATGCAGTGCGATCCAGTGTTTTTCACTAATCTCATCAGAGAGGTTTTCCTGATGTCCAGACTAATTGTGTCAGTCTTTCATTTTTTTTTCCCAGGTCCCATAAGTTCCTTCCCTTCCTCTTTGAGGAAACTACAGTTATTTAGCCTAGAGAAGACTAAGAAAGAGAATTTCCAATTTCAAGTGTTTAGCAACCATAATTTCGGGGGAAAAAGTTATATACTTACAATTCTTTTGTAAGAAAGACATTAGTTTTAGTGTAAACCTAAAACCAGAGCACAGTTCTCTTGCTTTTAAAATGTTACTAGAGTTAAAGTGTTTATTTTGTGGGTCTTGCAAGCGATACTCCTGTGTGTACATCCAAGCATCCCAACCAGTATTTTAGGTAAGGAAAGGCAAATGCAGCCTGTGCAGAGTTACAGGTACATTCTCTGCTCTTCACCATTTTGGGTTTTTGTCTCAGTGGAAGGCAGCTATTCGATATCCTCGTGGTGACGTGTAACATTGCTTCCAAGTGCAAAAAGGTGCAAGAACACTGAGTCAGCATCTCATTTAAGCTTAAGGGCAAATTATGCCGGAGCAACCTGATTGCCTTCTTGTCCAGAGTCAGTCATTTCATCACAGGGAAGAGCAGTGGATGTCATTTACCTTGACTTGAGCAAGGATTCTGACACAGCCTCTGGTAACTTCCTTCTGGCCAAAACGGAGAGGTATTGGCAGCGACCTGGGTGGAAGAACTGGCTGGATAGTTGGGCTTAAAGAGCAGTGATCAGTGTTCTGAAGTCTAATAGGTGGACAGCGATAAAGAGGTTGATTTTGAGGTGGGTACTGTTAAGCACCTTCATCAGCGATGCGGGCAGTGCAGCAGGATGCATAGTCATCAGCCTTGTGGGTGACACCAGCTAAGGAACAGACTGACAGGCTGAGGTGAGGACAAAAGGACAGATCTTTTTGCTCCCTTTCACTATGGAGTGGTGAAGGGGAGAAACGCGTCTCTTAAGAACAGCAAGGTGTAGATTGTACTGGTTTGTTTTGGTTTGGCTTTTAGTTCCTCAGCCTTTTGATCACAGAATTGGCTGTTACTGCACAGGTGAATTACAGGCCCAAGCGCAGCCAGCAACTGTCTTCATGCAGGACGGAGAGTTTCAGAATGCCACAGCCTTTGTTTTCATCTCGCTGCAGAAGAAATGTGCATACCTGGCATGCTATGTAATACCTGTCATCTCTACCCTTTTCCGTAGGGATGTGGTGTAGTGAGGCCAGTAGTTGCCCACAGTTCCAACTGTTTTATACACTTATCCATCTCCCTTGGTCCCTTCCTTTCTGAAAATGTACTTGTATTAACCTGGAGAGAGGCTGAGCTTGGACATCTTTAAGATTCTCTGGCATGCAACGTGTATCATTCTTGTCAACAGTGTTGGAAGGTTTATAAACTTTTCAGTAATGAAACCTGAAACAGTGCTATTTAACTTTGAAATTCTGTTACATTTGAACACTACTTTATTAACTTGACTGTTAGTGTTTTGGCTGTTTGGTTTTTACAGACTCGGTCTTTGCTGGGAGTATTTGAAGAAGATGCTGCTGCAATTTCCAATTACATCAATCAGTTATTTCAAGCCATGCACAGAATATATGATGCACAGGTAGTGTTAATTAAATCCTTGAATGCATTATAAAATTTTTGAACCACATTTCATGTCTCTTGCTTTTTTTGAAATTATTATGAGCAATATTTTTTTTAAAATGTGGAAGTGAAATAAAATAAGAATGATTATTTTTCTGTATGTTAGGGAGTGGTAAAGACTAAATTCTTGTGATTTCTTTTGCAACAGAATTTCTTATGACAAGTAAAAAGATTTTCTGGTCTTCTAATGCTTTTATTGTATTTCTCAAGTGTTTCTAAAATGTTTTCCATCATGATCTTAGTGTCTATAATAGTGTGTACCAAGTGGGAAATTATTTTTTGCCCACAACGTATTCATGTTTCACTCATTATCTATAAGCAACTGCAGTTTTATGCCAGAGGCAGAATCTATTTTGTGGGGGTTTTTGAACAATTGAGTTTATGGCTGTGTTTTTAATTTGTATATGCTTGAACTGTTAGACTTTTTTACTGATTTGTTACTCTGGCTTTTCATATTTTTATTTTACTGCTGGTTTTACTTTAATGACTAGTGTGTTTATTGTAGGTTTGATGCTGTGTAGTTTTATTTTACTGCCTTCCTAGTTAGCTTTTAATTTCTGTGCTTTCTCCTTCAACTGCATTATGAAAGATGAAGTTGTTCCATACCCTGAATCTGCTAATCAGGTCCTGTCTGTGTACAAGTACTAAACAGTTGGTAACCAGGTAGTACTGGGGATCACTGTAATCTTTTCTTTCCTTTACAGATAACAACGTTCTAATACTCAGTAACTAGGGCAGCTAATTTAAAATAATTACATGAAAATATGCACTGCATAACATGAAAAATACAGAAATCAGTGCACATAGTACAGGCTGTGAACTTGGTATTTGTAAACACTTATTCCCTGTAACTCTCAGCAGTGTCAGAGAGATGGAAGGGCAGGATGTTTAGGTTCTCTGAAAATTGGTAGTCAGATTTTAAGTTCCATGTCTGTAATAGTTTCCTCTTTAAATACGTGATTTTTTTAATATTAATTTAAATGAAAAAGTAACAAGCTCGGTATTTTGTTGTGGTTTGTTTTTGTTTTTTTTTCAATCAGAATGAATTAAGTGCAGCAACTCATCTGACATCAAAGCTTCTGAAGGAATATGAGAAACAGGTACTGTGGAAATTATTGTTCTCTGTGTGGTCAGGACTACGTATTTTTATAGTCTTTTATCTCCCAGAGCACAACGTAGAATGTATTTAGATTTGCTCCAGATATAATGAACTGCTGTAGTTGGTGGCTCGAATCCTTGCCAAAAGAATCTGGTGTCTTCATATTAGTTCTTCCAACTAAACCAGAATGAAGTTCCTCTTACCATGGTGAATATTAGTAAGTTCTGGAATATTTTACTTTTGGATCAGTGTTTTGGGGGTTGCATAGGGTGGTGTGGGGGGGTTGTTTTTGTTTTATAAACCTGTTTACTGTTAAGCACTTTAATTTTACTTGTCACAAAGAGAAGAGATTGCATAGCAGTCTCTGTTTTAACAACCATAATTTGCTCTTATTGTGAGAATAATTCTGTCTCTGAAAGCGCGGCTTGTGGAACCCATAGCTTTCTGCACTGGTACCTGTACTGGGGAGGGTTTCCTATTTGTAGCTGCGCTGCTGGGACCCCTTTTATGAGATGCATGTTAAAAACAAGAATTCACTCCTTTTAAGGAGGCTGGTGCTCCCTATCATCCTGCACTTCATGAGGTGAACTGGAAAATGTACTATTTGTGAATTACTTTGGTTTGGTGAGTCTAGAGGGGAGAGATGGCACATCATTTTTCCTTTGCTAATTGTTACTAACAAATAGGTGTCATGCAAATACGATCAAAACCACAGTGGTGCTGATCCAAAAGAAGAGTGAGCATTCAGACCTACAGTAGCTCCATCAGGAAGAGATGGAGAAACGGAGAGATTTAGAGTGTCTTTTTAAAAAACCTGAAGTCTTACATTCCTAATGACAGACTGGAAATGCTGCTTCAGATGTCTGTGCACAGTCCAAATTGTAGCAGGAATTAAATTATTTCTGCCTTTTTTTTTTTTAAATAGCTGCGGTACTGTCATTTGAATTGTTTTAACATTGTTGATACAACACCAAGTTGACTGTAATGACACAGCTGTTTAATGAATTGCACTGCTTCTGCTGTTTTCTAGCAAACCCATAGTTTTTGTAAAATCAAAATGAAAAGAACTGGCTTCAGATTAGAAGAACCAATTAGGGCATGGTATTCTTACTCATTAGCAGTTACGGATATCAAAATATACACCAAATATCCTTATTTCAGTTGCAGTTTGTTACATTGAGAAGAAGGAGGGGGGAACCTAACAAGCTGGAAGGAGGTGCTCAAAATTTTTATAAAGAAGTTGGGGTTTTTAATATTTCCAAGTGCTTTATGTATAGCTGCTGTAAATTAAAAGAAGAATTGAATTAGCATGGGACATTTTAACTTATTTTTCTGATTTGTCTCCTTTGGACTGCTTTTTTTTTCCAGTCAGGAGGTTAGCTTAAAATACACAAATAAGTGTTTATTTATTTTTATTTAAAAATACACAAATCCAGTTTGAACTGGATTATTTCTTTTTTTTAGTTGTGACCATTTTGGTCATACTTTTGCCTCCAGCAAGGTATTTTAGAAGTAAACTCTTCTGGATAATTTAAAAATTTCACATAAACACATAATTAAGAGCTAGAAGTTTAAGATGAACCCCAAATTTTCTTAATTCTTCTTACTGCTTAATATTTGATAATTCTAAAATAATTTGCAAAGCTGGATAAAAATCTTCCTAGATGTCAAGTCTGCTTATTTCCTGATTTTGAAAATTAAAATATATTAAGTTATGCAATCTATTAATTAGATTAATCTACTTAAAAAATACTTATTTTTTAAAAATGAGAATTGTTTATTACTCCCCCTCCCCAAATATTCCTTCTTCGCAGGACAATAAAGTGCGTCAGTGTATCATTACGGTATCATATTTTAAAACAATGGAACACCCAGTACATTCATAGACACTATGAATATAGTTTTGTGAATGGCAGAGGACACTGCAAACAACGTGCCCGCTTTTATTTTCTTTTAGCGTTTTCCACTAGGGGGAGATGATGAAGTTATGACTTCCACTTTACAGCAATTTGCAAAAGTGATAGATGAGGCAAGTACTTGTGTTTGTTTCACTAACTTTGCTAACGTTGTCGTGTATAGGCTTTAACTTGCTTAATTATTTCAGCCTTTTTAAAGACAGGAGGTACAGAAATGGCTTTCATTTGTCTATAAGGTAACACTTAATTGCATATTGAAACATATATTTAAAGTTACATAACCTGAAGATAAAGAATCAATTCAGCAAAGTGAGGATACGTTGCTGAGAAAGAATGTAGTTTAACTTCCTGTAGATACAGCCCAAGAACATCACAGAATGGCAGCTAGAAACTGTTTTTCATGAGGGTATTTGTATTGCCCGATTTCAGATACCCGACTGACCGAGGAACCTGCTGCTGTCTGTGTGAGAGACAGGGACTGCCTCTTCTGAAAGGCAACTTAGCACCATTAAGATGTGAATCAGGATTTTTTTCTGTGATCCCTCTACTCACTTTTAACACTACTTAAACAGCATTTTGGGAGGAGGAGCACATTTGTTCTACCTCTGTAACCTGTGAAAGATGGGCTGTGATGTAGCTGGAGGGAAACTGGAGAAATAAATTGACTGGTCATCAGAATGTATGAGGCCATCTTCTGGCATGATCCAGGAACTTGGAATAAGTTGGAAGAGTAGGGACAAATACTAAACATAGGAGAAAAACTAAATGGCCTTCTATAAAAAGCTAGTGCTGAGATCAGGAACCTAGAAGAGAATAGCTGCAAAAAAATGAATGTGCAGAATTATGTTTGAATTGTACATGCCATTTATGAGTGAAGTTGATGTTAACCTTTCTTTTTTATTTTATTTTATATTTTATTTTATTTTATCTCAGCACTGTTTTCTTATAATTTCCTTCTTTCTGTTGTCTTTTACAGCTCAGCTCTTGCCACGCAGTACTTTCAACTCAACTTGCGGATGCAATGATGTTTCCTATTACCCAGTTTAAAGAAAGGGATCTAAAAGGTAGAGTGCTCGAACAAACACTGTTTTTATCAACAGCAGCAATAACAAAAACGTAGCATTTAATCTCCATAGCTCTTGTTTCACTAAATAGAATACGCCACTTATTTTTCAGCTGTCAAAAGTATGCACCTCCCAATTAAAAATAAAAGTAAGTTATTTCTATTCATGAGAGTATTACAGTTGAAGAGCTTAACACTATTACTGTTTCAACAAAAATATTGCTTATATTATGGAAGCACTTATCTTCTATTAAAGATTAAAATTTTGCAGCTAATATAAACATTAGGAAAGAATAATTTTTAGATAATTTGCATGTTCGGGAAATATTTGTGTATAATACCATGGCATCAATATAATGGCTGGACTAAACTCAAAAGGCAAAGCGCCAAAGTTGTAGTACTTACTATATTATTAAGATTTAGTAAAGTGGTTCGTCAGCCCTGCTGGTAATACAGCTGGCTTCTTACATGCAGGCGTAAGATTCTTCCAAAGTCTTATTTTTCTAACAGTCATATCTTATTCTGCCTGGTCTAAGATAATACATAATGTGTCTGATTGTAATAGATTTTACTCGAGGTGCTAAAGTGTATAGACTGGTGTGGCAAAGGGGCTTCAAATATAAATGGTAAAACCCAAAATAACTTAAATCCCTAATGTGAACATCTTCGAGTGGGTATACCTAATATATGAATGTTTTAAGTCTAAACTGAAATAAAAATGACAACACTTCCATAAGCCTTCTAGCTCTTTATGAATCTTGGAAAATACTTCTTTGGCAATAGTTTGTTGTGAAATTATGGATTAAATAGTTTATGCTTTTTGAGCAATGGAACAGGAGTATCTCAAGGCTAGTATTACTCCTCAGAACCTGGAAAACTCTTCTGTTAATATTTACTGAAGCAGCATCTCTGAGGCAATAATAGCAAATGAAATTTTCCTACTGAAGTTTTTAACCACTAACTGATGCAGTAGTTAATGACGCCATACTACTTTATGGACTTCACAGGCACTTTCTGTAAAGCTTTTCCACGCTTTTTTGTCTTTGCTTTACAATAAAGTTGAACACAGCTCTCTGCTTGTTTATGTGACACAAAACCACAATCAAGATCAGAACAAGTGCTAAGCATTGTGCTGCTTTCTGTTCCCTGACACAGTGAGACCGAATAACCATCTAGACCATGACTAATTTTAGGTGGGAGGAATCAATGTGTTTGGGGCTTTCCTTTGATCCAGTGATACTTCCCTGTCTCCTGTGCTTCCACTTCCCCAACTCAGACCAGAACTCTGACCAGAAATGTAGGTGACGCATTTGTATTGATGATCTCTTCCAAAGTCTTTTGAAAAGAAGTTCCCCTTTACCTTATTATAGCACAGTATCTTTTTTAGTAAGCTGGACAGCCACGTAAATGATGCTGAGGCCCTAAGCAGGAGCAGACTTTCCTGGCCACATAGTGCCTATGGTGGTAATTCAGTGTGGTACGTGGTGTGAACTACAACTGTTGAGTAGTGAAACATTGCATGAGAAACCTTAATATATAAATGTCATGCTAATAACTTACTTACATTGTGATATGTTGTTTTGTAGAGATATTAACTCTAAAAGAAGTTTTCCAAATTGCAAGCAATGGTAAGTGTAAAATACTTAACACTGTAGATATTACAAGACGACAGTATTATTGTAGATTATTTACTCAGAAATCTAGTGAAGAAATCTGCACAGCTTAAGGTGACTAATTAAGGTGTAAGTTTTTTCAGTGATACTTAGGCACCCAACTTTCCTTGGTTCACTTGGAAATCCCTGCTTTATGTACCAAAGTACTATGGCAAATTGACACCTTTTTTTACATTACTTCATATATGATTATTAAATAATTTAGGATTATGCTACCAAAATTACTAAAAACAGTAAGGTGCTAGCTCACTTCTTAAAGTCAGGACTGGATTAATAAACAAATACTACCTCCCTAAAATTAGTTTGACAGTTCTCTTCCTTAATGTCAGAAGTTACTTTTTTAGCTAGCTCTACTATATCCTTGTAGAGAACTTGTTCTTTAAGTAAGGATTAAGTAAGGACTCTGCTTCTCTTAATGTAAATTGCTTCATTGCTTTAGAATTTGTGGTGGTGAAGTAATTATAAACAGGCAAGAACAATTCTTAAAGGTTTTAATGGGACAGAAATTTGCATTCAGCTGGCTGTGCAACACACAGTGATATAAAAGGTTTTCTGCTCTGTTTCATAAGTCATTAATTCATCAAAATGATCATAAATTCTCTCTTGATTGCTTAGACCATGATGCTGCCATTACCAGATACAGTCGGTTGTCAAAAAGAAGGGAAAATGAAAAGGTTCGTAAAACAAAATACTTAACACTAAGATTTTAGAGGAGGTAAGAAATAATTTTCATCTAATAGATATATATTTATGATGGAAGACAATGTATGGCAGATGCCACTTCAAGGTTGATAGTTTTAGCAGCCTAGACAGTTTGCTTCAGAACAAAAGCAGGTTTCCCCAATACATGCCTGTCTTGTACCACTGAGAATGCTCCAAGATGCAGGTCAGGATACTGTATTCAGTTTATTTTTGTAAAGAAACAACTACACTTTCCAGGGAGAAAAGAATGCTATATTTGTTTTTCATGTCTCTGGTGGGTAAGTTAGAGAAGCGGAATTGTAGGGTAAAATACGCAATTGCTGATGATAGAGGGTAGAGCATGACTCTGTTTTTTCCATGCTGGCAATAAAGCTGTCCAGCAGGCATGTGATGAGTACCAAGTCTCAAACATTCCTTTTTCTCCCTCCCCCTGTCTGTGTCTCTTTAGATCAAGGCTGAAGTTACAGAAGATGTATATACTTCCAGGAAAAAACAGCATCAGACTATGATGCATTATTTCTGTGCATTAAATACTCTTCAGTACAAAAAGAAAATCGCTATGCTAGAACCCTTGCTAGGATACATGCAAGCTCAGGTAATTTCAGATTCTGAAAGCCAAGGTCTGAAAGAAGATGTAGAAGTACTTCATGACGGTTGATGTACTGAAATCCATTGCAAGACCTCTTGTGCAATCCAAGGAAGCAAATGGCGGCGGAAAAGACATAGCCCATCCCTGTCCCTGTAGCTGCTGCCATGAACACCGTCATTAGCTAGCACTAGTCATTTCCCACTCAATACATGAATCTCATCAGGACGTGCCCTCACCTCCCGTCAGAGCATCTTTTGGGAAAGTCTGGGTGACAAATGTAAAGGTCTAATTCTATCCCAAAACCCAGATGGCTAAATTTAATGGACTGCCTAAATTTTCATTGCTGGGTACTTTTTTTCCACTGGATCACTAATGGCAATAGCTGATCAAAGCTTTCATGCATGCAAGTCCACATAGAAGTGTACCTTCTTAGGAAGTAATGTGGACACAGTTAAACTCCTTCCTGTGGCAGCTGCTCTGAGATGAGATAATCATCAAATTCACATCAATACTGTTATCCATCAAGGGTGTGGAAGAACTTGAATGCTAAAAATCATTCTGGCTTGTTTTTGTTTAATATAATTGAGTTAATGATTGTTTTATTTGAGGATGGGTGCAGTAGAAAATACAAGTATGAAAAAGTTCTTTGGAGAGACTTAATTCGTGTTTTCAGAAGTATGTCATCAGTATGGGATTTTTTTTAAAAAAAGCAAAAAAGCCAAACTTCCCAGCATCTGGCACTGCCACAGTGTCCTGAGTAGAAATAAACTTCCGCGTACTGTCTGAAAGCTTTCCAAGTCCAAAAAGAACTACTTCTTCTTGAAATTTTGCAGCTTGTATTTAAAAACTAAGCTCTAGCTGTTTTCTATAACAAAGTATAGTGCAGTGTGTTGTTCAGGTGCAGGTTTTTGCTGAATCTAAGAATGGGAAGGGCAAGGCCATGCCCTGTGGCTTCCTGTTCTTCCTGGCTAAACTCAAAGTAGATGTGGCAGTTTTTCTGGACCAATACAGAGCACACTGTCTTTAAGATACGTACTGTCAGTCCCCCGTGGCAGGGCCCACAGTTAGAGGATGGCCCCAGACAAGTTCTCCCCGGTGTCCCCTCTCCTGTGCCCCCCAAATAACTCCACCCGTCACACAACAGTTAGCAAACTGGTGCACTGGAAAATGTATGGAGAGACATTGGGATCGCTACAAGGCCAAACCTTGTTTCTTTTCTGGGGCAGTTTCTGCATATTTGTGTGTTTCCTCCAGGTGACTGCACTTCCTCTTGACACAATGAAGTCCCACAGCAGTGTCAGCATCAGCCCTCGCTTGCAGGCAGAGGCATGCATTCTGCTCCTTTTATTGAGAGGCTTTGGTGGGAATGAGGGACAAAACCAGATTACTCTGAGAAACGCTAACCTATGGTTTAATCTGTTAATTGTTACTGTAGTTTTATCAATGACTAAATTTTCCCTTTTCCTCCTTTATTTTTTTTAAAGATAAGTTTTTTTAAAATGGGTTCAGAAAATCTTACTGAGCAATTGGAAGAATTTTTGACCAATATTGGCACAAGTGTACAGAAGTAAGTTGGTTTTGTTGAATTTTGAACTATTATCAAGACAATTATTTTTTTCTGTTTCTATTTAATGAACTGTCTTTGTTAATAACACATTATCTACCTTAGTGTTCGCAGGGAAATGGAGTGTGAAGTAGAAAACATGCAACAAACTATAGAGGACTTGGAAGTAGCTAGTGATCCACTGTATTTGCCTGATCCTGATACTACAAAATTTCCTGTTCATAGAAATCTAACACGGAAAGCTGGCTATCTCAATGCAAGAAAGTAAGACTGACTTGTCACTTAAAAATTCCAGAATGTTTAATTTTGAGAAAGCTGAAGAAGAATGCAATGTTTTTTTGAAGTTAGCTTTGCTGATTTTACGTACTTAGTTGAGTAAGTCACGCAGGAGCTATTCTGTTTCTTTTGCATAGTTATCCTGATTTTAGTCTAATTTTGCCTGAATTTTCATGTCAAAAAAAAGAATTAAAAGTTCAGCAGAGTGCAATTTCACTGGAAAACAACAAGATTGAAGCTATCAGGATTGTTACAGAAGTGTCTGTTAAAGGTTTAGGATTCAAGTTACTAATAAAATATGACAAGGCAAAACATACCTCTGTAAACCAAACTACACTTTGAACGGCCTTCTCCATTTCATGAGTAGACTTTTGTCCACTGGAGGGAGCTGTTACTCTATTTATTAAAGTCTAGCAGCTGATTTTTATAGTTATTAAAAAGAAGTTGTAACACTCAGATTTTTTTTCTGTAATTTATATAACAAGCTCCAAGGAATTTTAAAAAAAATGTAATCACAACAATAGTTTGAGTAACATTCTCACGGAATGAGGCATGAATTCCTGTAGTAGAACACAATTGCAGCAATTAATATTGAAGAGAGTATTTGAACAAAAGGGGGGGCTAATGTAAGCGTTATTGATTTTTGGTTTCAGATTGTTCCTCTTCTGTTACTGAGGGGGGGATGGAAAAAAAACAAACCGAACAACGTGCTCTAAACAAAATTTTGGAAATCTTGTTGAATGGTACAAAATACTTAGAAAATTGAGGTATCTTACATGACTAAGCTAATACTTAACACAGAGTTCTTCAAAACTTAGTCTTAACAATGTAAGTGCAGATTTCAGAGGTCTTACCAATTATACTGATAATGTGTATCATTTGAATATGCATATTGTGTAAAGCAATACCATAAAAGGTGATAATCAAAACTGAAGTACTTACGCCTTTTTATTCTATTTTAAATTTCACATAATCTGTGAAAACAACTATTTTATGTTTGCTTTGCCCAACAATAGGTTTAGAATGAAAAAAACAACAGATGGAAAGAGACAAGCTTAGCTGCTAAAGCTAAACTAAAACATTAAACAGGGAAAAAAGTTGTCTTAAGTGCAGATGGTTTGTTCCAAGTAATTATTTTTTTCCTAATTTATACAGCTCTGCTGAACTCCTAATCTACTAACTAAGAGCCTCTTTTTATCTTTCAGTAAGACGGGGCTGGTATCTTCCAGCTGGGAGAGACAGTTTTACTTCACTCAAGGTGGAAATTTGATGAGCCAGGCAAGAGGTGATGTAGCTGGGGGACTTGTCATGGATATAGACAATTGCTCTGTGATGGCTGTGGACTGTGAGGATAGGCGGTACTGTTTTCAGATAACGTCTTTTGATGGTAAAAAGTAAGTATTCTTACATGACTGTTACCTGTAAGTAATACTGACTCACTAATTAAGAAAAGAAAGATGGCCTACCTTTGGCCAGGTTATAGCAAAATCTGGGATGTCTTCTTAACTTTGTAATGTCTGGGGATTTTAGTTTATCAGCTCTATAATGTAGCTGAGTGGTATTTCAGAATAAAATTACCATGATCAGTTTACAATGGTGTATTATTACATTTGTGAGTGCTTCTGTATTACATGGGCACAGATAGAATTTTGTTCCTCTTCTATTTTCAACTGAAATGAAAACACAGCTTTGCTCCCCCCCCCCAGTTAACTGTTAATGCACTTGGCACATACACAGAATCTGCAGCCTTTCTTAATTTGTGGTGTAATGTACAAATACGGAGTTTTCTGTCTGAACGGACTTGAGGCATTTTGAAGAGACAAAATTGTGTTTTCTATTCTTCTCTTTCAGGTCTTCAATCTTACAGGCAGAGAGTAAAAAAGATTATGAAGAGGTAAGCTTATAGGAGGCTTGCATGGAGTCCAATCATTTTCTGTTGCGCGGAAGGAATACATTCATAACAGTAGTTGGAATGCTCATTTTGTGTTCCCTAGGTGGTAAGCAGTGAACTTTTAACTCATTCTATCTATGACAGGTTTCAGAAAGTCTGACAAAATACTACTGTGTTTAAATCCTAGAGAAAAAAATGCAGTTCTGATTGCCACCAAGTCCTTTTCAGTATTATGGAAGAAAGGGAAACATTAAAAAAAAAAAAAAACCTACAGCAAAATAGCTAGCAGTAATGGAATCTCGATAAATGCTGCTTCTCCTCATTCCTGTTCATGCCTTCCCAGCCTTCTCTCTTCCTACCTGCTTGTCAGGAATGGAAAATAAAAGAAATCTTAGGTTAGGACACAGATAATGATACAGGCAGTTGAGAAATGAGGAAAAACTGTTTTTCTGCCCCTGATGCATGGCAGGAAACATGCGCGTACTTCATGAACAAGGTGAATCAAGAAATGTGAAATAATTTGCTTTTGGACGGCTTTCAAATCTGCTTGTGATCACTATTTCCAAATGGCTGCTAAGTGTGGTGATGCAGATTTACTTGCCTGTGCAGTGGATGAATGCCGGCTGAGAAATGTCCGTATTCAAATATTGGTCCGCAAACTTCCATGTTGTAGCAAATACTGATGGGGAAAGGAAATGGAAGAAACAAGCCCACCCAACCAGCAGGGATATCTTCTCCCTACTTTTTTTTAGCTTTCTCTGGAGTTGAGAGTAAAAAGTTTCTCTAGACTTTTTGCAAATAATAGCCTAATGGTATAGGCGTGTACTGGTCTAAGAAAGAAGGTTCTAGTTATTAGAATCTATGTTGTATTTGGACAGCTCTTTACAGCTTTCTGAAGGCTTGCACAGATGGGCCAAACCGATAGATTCATTACAGTCGTAGTCCATGAATACAGTCAGATTTGTCCAGAAACAAAGGAACAGATGTACTAAGAGATATAAAGTATTTGTTAATTAAAAAGGTATGACTGTTTGCATTATTATTCAATATAGACTTTTCAATAAGGGGTGCGATGGGAAAGAAAATGTTTTAAGAGCACTGTTGATTTAAAATACATTTGGCCAAGCAGGTGGATAGGGAAATAAGGAAATTACGGTACTTTTAGCCTGGAGTCAAATTCCTCTGCAGTCTTCAGTGTTACATTGATACAAAATGACCTTTTGTGCTATTTCTGAGGTTTTTAGCTGGGCTGTGTCAGGCTGGCCCTGGTTCATTTGCTCTGTTAAGATTGTCCAGTAGCCTAACACCAAAACATTTGCCCTCAGATGCCTCACTGGAAGAAGGGAGTTCAAAGGCAGCTTTAGCAGCTCAAATCTGTGATCTTCTCGGCTGCAGCAGCTCTGCTGTCTTTCAGGCAGCTCAGGTGACAACCCTGGCAACAACCTGGGGCTCAGTGGAACAGTATCAGTAGTATGCATACAGTCCAGTTAGTTTTCTCCTTCAGAGAAAAGTTAAAAAGCAAGGAGCAGGAGCAGATGGTTTTCCATAGCACAGGGAGAAAATAGATTCTAGCTTACAGGTGCAAGAAATGGGCAAACTCCACAAAAAGCAGATGGAATCTGTATAATGTCTTGAGGAAACAATGTCATCTGCAGTCACAGAATAATGGAGTACAGAGAATCCCGATTTTATTTTTTTTTTTACTTCCTTATAATTGTGATTTAGGCTTGCTTTACTTTTCATCTTCAGTGTGACTAAAATAACTTTTTCAAGTAGAAGTCTGATACTGTAAGGTGCAGTATGCAGATAGTAGTGAATTTAGTGACAAGCTGGGTGTGCAGAATACTGGTTTGGCTCCCTGAAGTTAGAAAGAAAGTGGAAAAAGTGCTGACATTGGCCAACTCAGGTATTTGATCAAGTTTGTTAAAAAACTATGAAAAAGTAAATGTTTTCTTTTTTTCTCTTTCTCTCTTTTTCAGTGGATATGCACCATAAACAACATATCTAAACAGATATATCTAAGTGAAAACCCTGAGGTAACTTTTCTAAAATGTATCAGTAAGATGTAGATATGCATATTATGCACACATATGCACAAAAACAAAGAGATGAACGGGATCTAATTGGATAGCATAGAATTAAGCTGAGTACTTCCTACATGTCTCATTAGAAGTTTTTCACGGCACGAAAGCGTACAGTCTGTTGTCTCCTTCATCTACATGCTTATACAGAAAGCATTAAAAATGTGTGACTTACATTTGGTATAAATTTCTGACATCTTCAAGATCCTGTATTTGTGCTTTGTATGTCATACAAATTAATGTTACCAATTAATACGACCAATATTCAGATGCATGCATTTAATTTCTCCTAGAGAGAACTGACAGTCTTAGGAATTAGATGAGCATAGGAATTTTGTAGGAAAGACACGTTTTTGCTTCATTAGAGAGTTATTTGCCTTCTGATATATTTCTGTAGTAAATTCATATTGATTGAGACTTAACGTAGTGATTTTTACTTGCTAAATTAGGGGAATTGGCCCAACAAAATCTGTTGTTTTGTAACAGAGCATTTATCGCTATATAAAGTGCGTTGAAAGTGAAGTTGTACTCCTTGATGCCCCTGCTGAGGTCTGAAACAGGTTATTGGAAAGGGAACTTCTCAGTGATCACCAGAGAGGAGAAGCGTAGATACAGCAGTCAACAGGCAGCTTGTTGAATAATAGGGGAATCCATCATTCAACTGTGTAGCACAAGGCTCTTGCCAAGTGATCTGGAAGATCGAGCTGAAATGCAAAGCGTGTCATGGCAGTTTTTGGTTTAGTAACTAAGTACAACTTTGTAGATCATACAAGTAGCAGGCTGACTGTCTAAGTTAACTATACCCATGATAAACAAAATGGTTTTAGTGCAGAGCTCAGTTCCCAGAGCACATGTTCTGATGAACATATAGCTGAGGTTCTGCTTAGTCCTGGCATAAACAGGTGCAGCTCCTTATATGAGTGAGGGTGTGTGCATTCACGCCTGGATCTCAGTGCCTTCTCCTCGCTTCCCAATGGCTTTATAGTCATTCTCGTTTCGTAAGTCACAGGCTCACCCAAAATGTTGTGTTTGCTGCACCTTCTGTCTCCAGAAATCCTCTTTCCTCAAGGAATTTTGCTATTGGCTTTCCCCCTTGAAGCGAAGCCATCAACATTAAATAGTGATACTTCAGAATCAGTGATTTCAATGGAAGATTAAAATGGAATTCTGCAACTGTACCTGGTCCATTATTTGCTGAGATAACACTGTGACATAGTCCTTACTTGATAGTTGTTCACTTCTGGTTTTTCAGAAACACTGAAGTGTTCCCAAATCTCAAGTGCAAACTTTTGAATCTTCATGGTTTTTAGTCAGTAGCTAAGGACTACATTTCTCAAATGACATTTTTATTTTTTGTCCTGGCTACATTTGCTTATTTTGTCAGACTTATCATTGGGACTGTTTTCTATCACTGGCTTTTACTAACATTCGCAGTATTATAAAGCAAGTGCATTCATTTAAATTTTGAAAGTGACTGGCAGGAAATGTGTTACAAGTTAGAAGGAAATACTACAACTATGTTAGTGAAAATTTAGGGATATAAGATTCTCACAAAGGGTTGAGTTTATAAATTTTGTCATTTGCATATAAATAAAACTAAAATCTTAAAGCTGATTTTGAGGAAAATGTTTTCAGTTATTTTTTCCCCATCTCTCTATTGCAGGAAATTGCTGCACGTGTAAATCAGTCAGCTCTGGAGGCTGTTACTCCATCTCCTTCCTTTCAGCAGAGACATGAGAGCATGCGGCCAGCCGTGTAAGTTAATGAATGGTCATTTGAAGAGCACAACTATAAAGAGAATCCAGGAAAAAAAAAAAACCCAAACAACAAAACTTTCTGTGTTCAGAACTAAATCTTTGATAGGCTAGAGGAAAATTTCTTGAACTCACCTTTTTGGCATTGTTTAGCATCCACTGTTACAAGTAATCCAGACTTCAAGCTGACTAGAGAGCTTTGTTGGTTGCATCATATGTCTGGTTTGTTGTATGAATTCATAATGAGATTTTTCTTAATGTGTCCAACTCCTGGAAGCAAACCTCAGATTGTTTTAACATCAATATATAATCATATATGAAACATAACACAATCTGATGCAATTATTAATGCAAGTAGTAACTGACTGACTTAAATTTGATTAGGAATATAAACTACATTTTTGTTTACTACACCCTGAACTACTTCAGGTTTTTAGTTTTTGTTTTGTTTTATATCTAAGTTTTAGAATATTGTATTGGTCTGCCATATGGTTTAATTTATTATCAACCAACCTGAAACTAAGATATCTTCATTTTGACTTTTTGTTTTGTTTTAGACAATCTCGTCCTCCTGCAGCTCGTACGAGCAGCACAGGGTCACTGGGATCTGAATCAGCAGCTTTATCAGCGCTTTCCTTGGATTCACTTGTTGCCCCTGACACTCCTATACAATTTGACATAATATCTCCAGTTAGTGAAGATCTGCCTGGTCAAGCAAAATCTTCAGGGCAGTCAGGCAGGTAGGAAATGTAGAGAGAAGGAAAAAAATTCCTGAAGTTAATGTTATTAATTTAAAAACAAACAAGCAAACAAGAAGACCACGTTCAGGCTGCATCTCCAAAACACACATTGCCTTTGCCCGGACTCGTGTCAGTCAAATTTGCAGCGGCCAGTGAAGCAAAACAATTTTATTAATAGTTAAGTAGAGTTATAAAAAAAATGGCTTAATTACATGCACTAGACTCAAGGTGTAGTTTTCTATTTAGCAGCAGCTTCTCTTGCTTTAACAGCTAATGCTTTTATATCTCGATTTATTTTAAACTTTTGGTTTCACAAAGTATTTTCCTTTCCTATTGCTTGCTCACCCAGCAGCTTGGGTTATTTCCTCTTGGAAACTCAAGAGAAATTTGGTAGCCCTGCCTCCAGGTGATGATGGCATACGATGACACTCTTCTTAACCTGAAAGGTGAGTGAAAATGATCTAGGCTTCTAGAGTAACCTCATATACAGACAAGTTAAAATTGTCTAAGAGCTCTTCCCAAAATACAGAAACATTTTCTCCTACTTGTTTTTTTGTAAACTTCCCATTCAAAAATAATAATAAAAACCTGTAAATCTGCACTACATTTCTGGAACAATATGTACAGAATTCAGATTCTAAGGAAACGTTTTGCAGGTCCAACTGCTTTTAACAACAACAAAAAAAGCCAAAAAGCTGAGAACTATTTTACATGACTCTAGTCACAGTAATGTGTGGTATCCCCCGCCCTCTCGAAAAATATTGCAATTTTCAGTTGCATCTCACAGATACATGAGTTAAAATTATATGTATTCAAATCTTCTTTTTTTTTTTTTTTCCGACAGTTTTTTGTTGTTGTTTGGTATAGCAGGATAATCTGTTGGCTAACTAGATCCTTAAGAACACATTGATTTAAAATAGACCTGAACTGTATTTCAGGACGTGGAAAGGTTAATACCTCAGCTAAATTCCTGTCATCAGTTATAATTCCATTCTATAAAATCATGTTTTTCGTAGCAGAAATGATACAAAGTTGTGCTGAGTATTTTCAATTAACCATCCCTGTCTGCAGTGTTTGTAGAGACAGGCAGCATGCTACTTCAGAAGTATTATTTAAAAAAAAAAAATAATTTGCCTTGGTTTCTGATACTGATGACATATATTTAAATTTTATTTTTGTCTTTTGAGAAATCCTGTGAGATTTTGCATTTACTGTTCCAGTCTAGTCTTAAATGACAAGAAAAATCTCAGCAAAGAAAAATGCCAATAGAAAGAATTTCCCTTTAGTGTATTTACACAGGTCAACATGTAACGACGGGATGACTCTTGATGGAGGCCGTGGTACATAAGCATTGTAGCAATGCAATCCTGACTTCAGAGTTCAATCTGGAACAATTTTATTACTTTAAACTGGACATCTCTTAGTTAAAAGATTTCACTGATAAAGGAAAACTGGCAGTCAGTATGACACGTGACTGAACAAGAGATTGATATTTTTTCCTCTTAGTTCTGAAATTTGCTTTTAGAGCACTAACTATTGAGAAGTGGCACCTTGATTACTCCCCTATAAAACCTGATTTGAAGTTTATTGAACTCTTGACAGTAGTTTTTCAGCTACTAGTTAGCCAAAGAGAAAAGGGGTTTTCCTTTTTATAAGTTTTAAATAAAATTTCCCCATTTTCCATACTCTTTTCAGCATTGCTTTACTGCTTTTGAAAAATGAAGACTTGGAAGCCTAGAGTATTTTCACTTTCCATTGTAACTGATAGCAATTCTGTCTCTGAGAGCCAGCAATAGCCACATTTCTCTTGACCCTCTAGGAGTAAAACCCCAGTGATGTTTTCAGAAAGCTGCATTTGAAACAAATCCAGTGACTTCTCTTCAGTAAGTAATCCCACAACTTGAGACAGTGATGAGAAGCGTGGTGCCCCTATGGGGTACTGACGGGACTAGCTTTTGGCTGTACATCCTGAAGCTTTTCTGTGAACTTCCACTCCCTAAGACACTACCTTTTCAAATATTAACAAGGTCTTGCCTTGGGCTTAATTCAGATATAAAAAAATACTGTGTGAGCAAAACTCTCTATGTGGCAGCAATAGGACAATGATATTTGTCATCTGGCAATGGTATTTCTCCCATAATTTCAGCCCTGTAGCAATATAGCAATTTATATCTAATTCCTGATTAAATTGCTCATCCTTATCATTTATCATCCATTATTCCTCTGAATTACAAGTCTGTGAAATCATTACATGTTCTTATTTGATGCAGCATGAGACTACATTATACATTAGTGGTTCTTGTAATCTGACTCCTGGTTTAATGTTTTCATTTTTTTAATAGACGCACAAATCCTTTTGGTGAATCTGGAGGCTCAAAATCTGAAACGGAAGGTAAAGCGAAAATTTTATTTCAATGCAAAATAAAAAATAGAATTTGAAAATTATTTTTCTATTTTCGTCTGTAGCTTCTCCTCATTTAACACCAGTTTTAGAATGCTTACATTAGCAATGTATTAGACGAGTTAAATTAGGCTACCATCTGAAAGTCTGTTTTTAAAAGAATTCATTGCATCTTTTGTATTCGTTAAACCAAATGAAAAGATGTGGGACTCGCTGCTTGGTAACCGTACCTCTAATGCGTCAGTGTGAGCAATCTCGCTCCAAGCTACGGGGAAGTCTGCAGTTTTGCTGAGTGCGGTCCTTTGGTTTTGAATGGAACCCCCAAAACAGAGTTCACTTTTTCCAATACTTTTCTTTGTCTTAGATTCAATTCTTCATCAGTTATTTATTGTAAGATTTCTTGGCTCTATGGAGGTGAAGTCTAATGAAAGTCCAGATGTTGTTTATGAAACAATGCGTCAAATACTAGCAGCTCGTGCCATCCATAACATTTTCAGGATGACGGAATCACATCTATTAGTCACTTGTGACTGTTTAAAGTAAGTTTGGTTCCTGACTTCTACTGATGTTAATTTACAGAATGATCTTCTTTCACTTTGGTAAAATTTACTTTCTGGTTTGTTTTTAAAAACAAATTTTTAGGTTAATTGATCCACAGACACAAGTTACAAGACTACGAGTAAGTAACTTTACATTTTAAGATAAATACTGGCAATGTAATTCTTCTACTTTAGAAATATTATTATTAGATGTTAGCAAAAATCACCAACAGCTTGAGATTTTCCGACAAATTTCCACTGCAATGAGGAGACCAATGCATACATTTAAAAACTGACAGAAAAATGCCAGCAAATCAGGCTTAAGGGGAGTGATTGCAATAGGTCAGAAAGGCTTTTGAAACCACCCGCCCCCAATTTGATAGGGTAAAATCTTAGGAAAAGAGAATATTGTATTTTAACAATGCGATTGTTTATAAACATTGGTATTGTTAGCAGAGGGGTAACATTAAAGTGGGAGTCAAATTAGTTCTGAAGTCCAAAAGGGTTTGCTTGGTGTTTGGGTTTTTCAGGTTTGTTTGGGATTTTGTTTTCAAATGCGTGATTGCATTGAGGGTGTTGTACAGTTTCTGCTTGGTTTGGGGTTTTTCTCTAATTCTTCATAAAAAGTAGAAAAGGAGTGCATGCAGAGTTAGGAATTACATTGCAAATGAGGTCTCCTTGGCTTACATGGAGCGTGTTTTTAGAAGTGTTCCTATCTTTTGAATAATTTAATCCTTGCCTTCTAATCTACTGTTTGTGTTTCGTAATTACGTGTTTGGTCAGGTTGTAACTTCTTGTTATGGCACTGAAGTAATTAACATGCAGTATATTGAAACCTCATATAGGAAATATTTGGAACCAGTTCTAATATCTCCGTATTTGATCCTTTTTGGCAGTTTCCTTTGCCCAATGTAGTCTTGTACGCCACGCACCAGGAGAATAAGCGCCTTTTTGGATTTGTCCTTAGAACGTCAGGAGGGAGAGTTGAGAGCCGCCAAATGTCCGTCTGCTATATATTTGAATCAAATAACGAAGGGGAAAAGGTATTGGTGATGGTTATGCTCGGGTCAGGCCGGAACCTGAGGGGGATTCCAAGACGTTCGATCATTGAAGCTGTCTGAGGGGTTTCTATGGGAGAGTATTTAGTTTATGTACTGACAAACAGTTAAGCCTGGCACTCTGAGTACCTGCAAGTGCTTTAATATGCAATATATCTAATTTGGGAATCTGGCTTAATTTTCACAGCATTTTTATTAGTCTTTTTGATGATTTCCAATCTGTTTTGTGTTTAGATTTGTGACTCTGTTGGACTGGCAAAACAGATAGCCTTTCATGCAGAACTGGTAAGAGTCTTTTGGGGGCAAGGGATACTTGTGAATGGAAGGGAGTGTATTTAATACGTGTCATAGAATATATTCTGTGAGGTGCTTATAGATGCAGTAATACCATTGTGTATTTTAGGGGATTTGTTTTCTAGAATTTAAACCTGAGATAAAAAGACTTGGACCAACGTTTGCCGAGATCTCCAGATGAGAGATAGGATTCAGCTCGCTACCTTTAACAAACAGACCAGTCCTTTACAAGAAGAATAACCAAAGCAGCGCTCTAAGGGTTCTGAGCAAACTCAATATAAATCGGTGGTGTATGAAACATCTCAGGCTGTTGCTGCTCACTTTGTTTACATTTTTGCCTTTTAGGATCGAAAGGCATCAGAAAAGCAAAAAGAAATAGATAGAGTCAAAGAGAAACAACAAAAAGAACTGAATAAGCAAAAACAAATTGAAAAGGTACACATCATCATTATTTCTTCATATTTTTTTTTTGTCCTTCCTACTTCCTTTCTTTTGCAGTTTTGTACTCCAAGCTCCACTATCATCGCATTCTTTAGCACAAGTTCATAGAACATTATGGAATTTAGTTAGTTACTGCAAGTATTTCCTCCGCAGATTTTGTGTAATCTTGTGTAGTAATTTTTAAAAAGAGCTCTTCTGAGGAGATAAACTGCAAAGCGTTTTTAAAGGCATAAAGAGCAGTGCTTGAAGGAACACCTATCCCAGGCCCAAAATAACTTCAGGTGCTGAGGAGGGCTCGGAAGGGGCTGCGGGGAGGGGGCTGCAAGTGAAGACCCTTGTTCTGGCCTGCTGGGTTTTGGGGGCTGTAGGTACAGATACATTGGCGTGCTGGCTGTTGTAATAATGCCAACTACCGAAATGTAAATGTTTTGGCTTCCTATTCAGTCCTTTAGTGCCGTCTGTACAGAAAGCTGTCTGTTAATGGTATTAAAAGATAGTTTACAAAATCATAATGATGGTATTCCATCTCATCTGTAGATGGCTTTAAAGTTAATAGTCTTTTTCTGATTTCCCCCCCCGCCCCCTTCTCGAATTAGGACTTAGAGGAGCAAAGCCGGTTGATAGCTGCTTCCAGCAGATCCAACCAGAGCAGTGGAGAAGGACAGTTTGTTGTCCTTAGCAGCAGCCAGTCAGAAGACAGCGATTTAGGAGAAGAGGGAAAGAAGAAGAGAGAATCTGAAGCCTAAGGTGGCCTGCTTTATTAAAATTGGAATCGTGGATGGATCTGGTGAAATGGCACAAGTTCTACAAGAGGTGAAATGTAGGTGGAGGGTCTGTTGTATATGTGAAAGGCTTCACAATATGTAGACCCTTGTTATGCCTTGATTTTTCTTTCTCAATTAAGTGATTTCCATTTTCATGTCAGTATAATTTCTCTTCTGTATGCCAGAAGCAGCATGGTGATGCTACCATGTTTATTACAAAATGATGTTTTCTCAAGGCTTCTCTGCAGTACGGGAAGAACTGTGGGGCTTTTCCCCACTTACCTCGCTGTGCAATTGACTGCTCTCGAAACAAAACTTAAAACTCTCATTGGACTTCAGCAGTACACTGAAACGTGTTCTTTATGCTGTGGTGTGGAGAACACCTTGCTGGACGTAAAAGTGGATGTCCAAATAAGGCAGCGCTAAGCTTTACCCAATCTGTTGCACATAACTGTTCTTAGATTTAGAAAGAAAAATCCTTATTAACATCAGTGAGCCATGCAATAGTTCTAGACAGAAAGATCTTCTTTTTTCTTTCATATTGCACTGTATGATACTGTCTTGATTTTTTTGGTGAATATAATGCTGAAAGAAAAAATGCTGTCAGATCTAGAGCAGAGCTGATGAGACACAGTTGCACTTTGCTGCATGAGGAATGCATAAAGCATTCCTTACCAAATGATGAGAATAATGTAAATAGTTTTGTAGCACAAGTGCCATGTTCTTGTTTTGTTCCCCAGTACACGTAGTAAAAAGCTGTAAGCCGTTCAGTTCACTTTTTATAAAACGTGCTTAAGAAAGAGTTACAGGAACATCTTGAATGCCATCATTTGAAAAAATCTGAATATGTAAATGCCTTGCCACCAGTACACGACATCTACTGCAAATGAGTCAAGGCTCTTTAAGTCTTTTTATGGAAATTGATTTTTGCAAACAGAATTTACTAGCTCTGAAGAAAGAGACTATGCTAATCCTCCGTCCTCGAGTCAATCCCGTAAAGCGTTTTTTGAAGCAGTGTCTGTTTACAGCTTGTAATCTGAACTGTGCTCCATACGCTGTGTAATATTTATTTTGTATAGTTCTGAATGTGCATTCACCTTTTGATCCAGAAGAGAAAACTTGTTTGAAGAGAAATATTTATTTTTGCACTAATTACTATAAATGCTAAAATCCAGTGGAACAGAAGATCTGTCTCTAATAGTGGCATGAAAATAACAGGAAATATAGAAAGAGAAGAATATGCTTATACTCCAAGTTATAATATAACAGTTATGAGTGTTTTACAGTTCATTGCAGGGCATTTCTGGTCTTCAGGAATGGAAGCAATTTACAGAATATCTCCCCCTCAGCTGGTGAGGGCCCAGCCCTTCACAGCTGGAGTTGCTCAGCACCTCAGGCCCTCCCTGCTGTATGCGCACGGAGTGATCCATACCCGTAGCTCTCCTCAGGTGTCGGGTGGCCCTGTGTTGGCTGAAGGCAGCAGCCACCTCCTGCCCCTTATGCTGGAGGTGCAGATTTCAATGCAGAATTTCGCTGCCTCTGGCTCCTGTCACAGAAGAGGAGCAGCACCCGGGCAGGACTAAGTCTGCTGGGCTGGGGCTGCTACTGCAGCAGGAGCTGAAGCAGCTCCAGGAGCGGATGTGGAAGGGCCCCAGCAGCCTGGGAAGGGGTGATGGTATTCCTGCCTGACCAGAGGAGGGGGAGGCTGAGCCGCAGAGAGCCCCACGTTCTCTTCCCGAGCTGGTTAGTGACTCCTGCTCCAGTACATGTTCCACCCCCAGAGTAGCCAGTCACTTGCAGAAATAGCGGCTTTTGCTTGTTGCCCAGTCAGGCCAAATGGCATTGCCTGGCTGGCAGACTGTCGCACGGACCACACAAATCTGGAGCTTTTTTCTAAAAGAATGGCATTTTTATTTCATATATAGTCTTCTATTCTCATCTCTCATCCTTAAGAGACTGGTTTTATTCTTGCCAACAAAAATATACAGAGAGGCAGCAAATCCAACTTTTCTTCCTTTTTGGGCCTAAATCTATGCTTACGTGGCATGGCAGCCAGTTTGTCTCTGCAAATTGTTCCAGCTCATGTTTCTTTCTCTTTGTTTTTTTTGTTTGTTTTTACTTACTGGTATTTCTGTTGTCTATCAAATAATATGACAGCATAGCGCAAGGTTATTGTGTCTTACTTTATCTTTCTCAAGTATGTGCTGAAGAAATTTTGCAACAGCAGAGGAAGATGAAATCAGTGGTCGCCAGTTCCTAGAATCCAAGCCCCCAGCTTGTCAGAGTGGGGTTGATCACTGCGCTACGCAGTTCAGCTGCAGTAGCCGCAGCTCCCTAGGGAGGGCAGTTCACAGATGAGCCATCTCATCAAAAGGCGTTTCTGATTTGTACCTGGTTTGCATTAGCCTTAGTGGAGAAATGTCAGAAAACTGAATTACTTTTTTTTTTTTCTTGAAACCTACCATTACTGTTTTAGACATAAATCTGCACAGCTGAGGAAGAAAGCAGGAGAAAGTAAGTTGGCAGATGAATTTACTGTCATACGGGATTTTTCAGATTTAACAATAAGAGATTGGAATTATTCCACTTGCTTTTCAGGCTTTCTATCTATGCCATTAAACATAGTTTTCTAAAACAGACAGCATAGGAAAAAAGTACATTTTTTTTTGTGTTGGATGATTCTCATCTTAACCACTAAAAAAAGGGGAAATGAAGAGAATGGTTAAAGAAAACACATTGACATGCATGAATGAAATGAGGAGGGTGTTTTGATTGTTTAGGAGAGTTTCACTGGTGTAAAATGAGCAAGAGATATAAAAGTATCTGGGAGAGTGATGAAAGCTGCAAGGGCAAGTGGCAGGTCCAGAGAGATGCAGAAGCTGAACTGGAAGGGTGCAGTGAGTGAGCAGTGGGGTGAGGGGCTGTGTTTTGCTGAAGGGGAGGAGCACCTGGCTCTGTAATTATAACTACCTCAAGGCAAAAAAAAATAGCTGCTGAGGTTTTTATCCATGCCCTCCTCCCCAAAATAAAAAAAAACAAACCAACCTATATCTGGTACCCTTTTTTTCTGTGAGGTTTGAACTACTTCATTGGAAAAACATTTTTGTTAATTAAAAAAAAAAAAAAACTGGGGTGCTTTGTATTTTCCTTGAGAGTTTGACTTTGAATATAAACACCTTATGTTCTGGGAACTACTGCAGTGGGAGTTTGCCACCTGAACATTTTATTAAGTAAATTACTGGTCGGTTTCCTCTCCTGTAATTTGTTTCTCCCATTCAGTGTTTCCTGTCACCTTTTACTTCCAGGCACTTCCAGCTGGAGCTGTAGTTTGCTTCCCATGACTCTACTATTATTTAAGACACTCCTGAAAATACTCTTTCAAATACATGATTTTAAAGTGACTTTGCACAGGTACTGAATCAGCAGTGTTGTTTAGGACTAACTTGTTATGTTGCTAATTGCAGTCTCATAGTTCCTGCCACATTTTTTCCCTTTGTTAAGGGGATATTGAGTTTGTTACCCAGTGTAGATTTACACACTGTAGACCAAGCAAGTCTTGCTGATGGATGTTTTGAGCTACATACGTTCTTATGTATGGACTGGCATGGATATCAAAATATGTAAAGTGTGCTTATGATTATGCGTTTTATTACATTATAGATAATACCTAGCACTCATCTCTGGCCATTAATAGATTTCTCCAAGTCTAAATTAGAGGAGAAGTTAAGAGGCATAAACAACTTAGCCATATATAGCTGGTTACAAGTGGGTAGTGTAACCTAATTTGTCTTTTATAGTTTATTACTTCCTTAACCTGTTTAGGTTTGAAACTGTGTCGAGACAATTTACCATCACAGTAGAGTAATATTTAAGACTTCAGGAACCGTCCCTATCTACAATTCTGTCAGATTTCATCCTTATATGGGTGTAAACCCAGAGCTGAAAATTCTGAACCAGCTGAAGCTGGCTATGAAGATACAATTTAGGTGCATTGATATAAAGCAGCAAATTTGACTGTGCATATGCTTAAGGTAAATTCTGATGAATTAGTTGCACAGAATTTAGGAGAAGCTAATGGAGAAGATTAAGTTATGATGCAGTCTCTTGTTATTTCAGAAATAATTCACATAAAGAAAGAAAACCTGCCTCTGCTTAGTGAATTTAGTAGAAAGATTGTCTGGTCTAACAGCAAGAGCTGATATTTTATATTCTTGCTGTTGCTCTGTTTTACAAAATTTCTTGCAAGTCAATGAGTCTCCAAAGGCTTTTCTTTTTAACTGAGCAGTACATTGATTTTTTTTTCCCCCCTGCCAAGGTGGTATCTCAGTTGTCGTGACAAGAGTAAGTCAGTGTGTCACTGTGAATGCACTTGTATTCCTAATGACGTTTATATTGCTAGCCAAGGGTTTTGTAAAATCTTTCAGGTAATTTTTATAATAGAGTGGAGTGGTCAAATTCTTACGAAGATGTTCTGGACTGGTCCTGTTCTAGTGACGTGTAAGTGATTTTTGCAGTGTCTGAGACTGACTTGCACATCTTCCCTGAATAGCTGTATTAAAAAACCTCCAATGGCATACTTACATCAACTATGATTGTTGTGTCTTAATCTTGGAAACATGGATAGTAAACATATTATGCCAGGGCTTCAGTCAGCATTTTGTAGATTAAATAAAAGCTTAACTATTGTAGCTTTGGGTGGGTTTTGTACTGATGCAAAAACCTCCTGCATTTTTCATAATACTGACTTCCAGGAAGTACCATTATTGGCAACAGGATGTGTTCCCTTCCATTAAATGAAGCTTTAACACGCAGTTATATCCCTCTGTTTTCAAAGTGTATCTCAGTTCTCTTCATTTTAATCATATTAGCCAGATGACCTCAGAGGAAGTTATTGTACTTGGGAATGATGGTAACTTATTTTTGCAACAATCAAAGAGTGAATGGTAGGAGAAGAAAACCCTCGCCGCTGTAGCTGGCTGTTTAGTGCACGTGTTGTTGTAGTCACACGACAACGCGTAGCACCCTGCAGCGCTGTGGTTGTGGTAGTGATCAGAATTCACATGTACAGAGGCTATACCAGCACAACCGTTAACATGGGTACTGATACGTATCTTCACGGGCTTTGTTAGTTTATTATATGATAAACACCGTGTAAAAAGTAATGGGTCATAACTACATTATGGTTAAATTTGTATTTTATAAGGTTTGTAGATTTTTCTGGGGAAAAGCAGACTTTTGAATTATGTAACTTCTGTGACAAAGATGCATGTATAACTAGAAAAAAATAAATCTATGCTTACTTGATAATGAAGGAATAAATACTACTAATGCCAAGTGTGTTGATGAACTTTTTTTTTTTCCTAAAACATGGACTGATGTCTGCTGTATTTTAGAAAAAGCAGGCATGCTGTGGCTCTGCGTGTACAATCTAAGGCTTCCTGAGACACCTGTGACTGCTGACAGGTAGTGCTCCAAAAGCTTAGGCTCCAACTGTATAGAGAGAAACTCCAAAAATTGTGAGCATGCCTTTGGACAACACTGTTCAAGCAAAACCCGGTTCTAGAGAGAGCAATCAAAATATGGAAAGGATGCGACGTATCCATACCCAAGAAGGAGGTGCAGAACTCACACGTCTGTCAGAAATAGCGCCTTCTCGTTGACACATCGGTATTTCACACTAGCTGCTGTGTGAGCAGAGGTTCCTATAGCTGCTAATCCCATTTCACTGCTTAGAATGTGGGATTGCTTAATTGGGTGAAAAAAATAAAACTACTTAGAAGTTCTTCAGAACTTCAGTGCAGGAATCCACGAACAGAAACTCTACTTCTTGGCAAGAGAAAGTACAAGAGAAAAAAGAACTACATCCCTTCCTGGCGTTGGTTAAATCCCTGGCCTTTAACTAAAGCCGGAGTTTAACCCTGCACTGCGGGTGGCGTTACCTGTTATGACAGGCTTTAACTTGGCAATAACACAAGGTTTGCAGCCCTACATTTTACAGTTCCTTAACTTTTCACACTAAATGTTTAAAATACCACTGCTGTAACTTTCAGATAGTTTATATTCCAGGAGATATGTAGAATGGGATCGCCAATACTTACATTCTGGGTTCTCCCCATTTTCTTCAGGGGATGAGGGGGGGAATGCTGGTATTCCTTAATATACACAGGAGATAAAGTCCCAAAAGAAAAAAGCAGCTGCGTAAGTCTTATCCACGTCAACATTCCCGTCAGCATAGAGCTAATAATTACGTACAGTTGAGGCTGTAGGTTCCTGTGGAGTTTTCCTGTCCATAAAGATCATACTCCTTGTATAGTATGTAGTCTTTCAAGCAGTTTGGCAGTGGAAGGAAGGTCATGAAGACAGGGCAACGGAGACGCAACCGGCCCATGCATTCCCGTATCTTCAGACGACAAAGATGCTTCAGAGAGCGAGGATTTGCTAGAAAAGGGAAGGCAAGATTGACATAAGTTATTTCTTAAATTTTGTTCAATTTATTTATTCAATACTCTGCTACCTGGAAAACTGGACCTGTCAGGACCTTTTTAGCTCAGCCCATACATCTTTTGGTTATATCTGTAATCATTGGCAACTAAATCAACAGGTACTGTTTCTGTCAAGTTAGCTAATAATGCAAGTTTAAGTAGTAAAGTCTGGGGAATGTATTTTAACCCCAAATAATTGGTGCTGGTTTTCTGTCAACCTGAAGAAGCTACTGAAAGTAGAATGATGAGTCACTAGTTCTTAATCTATGTACAAACAAAAAGGACACAGAATTAACCTAGGCTAGAATGAAATCACTCAAAAATAGTAATTTATTAGGTTTGTTCCATCAGCTTGAGGTGGGGGAAAAGCTTTTCTCTCCTTGATGAGGATCATGTTGTCTACATTGTAATTAAAGTTCCCAAGTGCCCAACATAAATTGTGCAGTTACTGTCAGACTTCTGAGAGAAATGTAGTTTAACTCCTACATAGACTGATTTTTAAGGGGTCTCTTACTGTCAAAACATAACTTTTGGCTTAATAAGGGTCAAGAAAAGCACCAGTCTGAAGTAAAGAGAATGAAAACTAGAATACTACCAATAAAAAAGGCCCAATCCCAAAACAGCTTGTTTGTAATTTCAAATGTAAACATCAGATACTTACTTAAAATGGAATTGATGTCTGGCCAGAGTTCCTGTTCTTTGAGAACTGCTTCTAGCTTCCAGCAGATACTGACGTGATCGACGTAATCTAACATTACTCGCACTACTTTCCCAGACAGATGCTTCAACCATGACAAGGTTATCACTTCACAGAACTGACAGAAACAGAATGTTTAACAGGGTAGTAGTCAATGCTCCTGTAAATTACTTCTGCCTCTGCAGGACAAGAGCAATTAAGTAACTTCAGCAGAATGCCAGGAAGATGAGTGTTCTGTCAGTCAGGGGAGCCTCAGAGGTAGTCACGGCTTGCATTAAGCCTCACCAGTAGAATATGAGAATCTGAGAGACGGTTGTTTTGTACTAGATCCAAAAACGCACTTAAGCAGCTGTATACTTGGTAATGAAGTGCTTAGAAAGAAGTGCTACCACTCCTAAATGGAATTCAGACTTGTGTCCCAGCCCAGTGCATGGCACACCCCTTACCCTCAGGGTAAAGAAGGGTTCCTTAGGTTCAAGTGGACTTTACAAACTGCAAAACAATGACACTGATGGGTGTCTCTAGGAACACAGGCTGATCCAGGTTTGTTAAATTCTCCTCAGGGCTTATCACTCCAGCTCCAGGGGTCCTTACAGCAGCCTTCCCGTATTAGTGTTACGACACAGGACAGCCCAGCGAGCCAGCCTGCAAGTCCCTGCTTTCATAGCATGGACAAGACTGCCCTGGAGAGCCAATTCTGTACTGATCATTAGGCTATCGTTAGCTATGTTTGCACAATTCAAAAATATTGCTTATGATAATTTGCTGTCATGAACCAGGTCTCATGGCAACATCTATTTATTTTTAAAGCCTTGTCTATTCCTACCTTTATGTGTAAACTGTCTTACAGTTTCAC